TAAGCAGGAGGAATAGTGCCCCCTCATTGGTCTTAGCAGGAGGAACAGTGCCCCATTAATGCTGTCAGTGGGAGGAATGGTGCCTCCTAATTGGTGTCAGTTGAAGGAATAGTGTCCCAAGGGTCAGATAGAGGGAAGCAAAGGGCCGCATCTGATGACCACTGTTCTAGGGCATTCGCACAAAAAGCAGAGCATAAGGCAATTGCTGTAGTTTCTCGAATAGCACAATCCTGAAATACAGATAATGTTGGTTGTTCATTGTTCAATGTCCTAGTCCAGTTAGTTGCAGTTTGAAATAATGAAATGGCAGCCAGAGCTGGTTGCAGGGCTGGACCTGCAAGAGCAAAGAGCCTTCAGGAGTGCCTCAAACTTTCTATATGATGAATCTTTGAAAGAAGGATCATCTTCAATAGGTGCACTGAGATGTTGTTTATAACAGAAACAGCAGGATCAACCACAAGAATAGTATGACTCAGTTGTCCTACACTGCACAATTTATCTGTTCATGAACAGCAAAAAAAAAAGCTCAGGCTTTGTCTGTCACTGTGGGCATACCCCCAAAGGGTTCTTCAGGGACTGGGTTTCATAGCCATGGACCACGGCCATGGACCTGTATAACACCCTGAGGCTGACAACGCATTGCACCAAGTGCTAAGGTAAGCGCCCATGCAGGACCCAGTGCTGATTCAGATGCGCTGCTTCTGTGTAGGCGATAGAAGGCAGTGAGGTGTTGAAGAATTTGAAGATAATGATAAAGAAATAAACTAGTGAAGTTGATTTTTCCACAAACGAGAAGAGGTCAATCACCTTCAGATACTAGCACAAAAAACTCAGGATTTACAGAGTGAGGTAGGGTTATAGGGGAGGTGTCCTGGGGGGGGGGGGGGGGGGGGCATGTCCTCAAAATCTTGCCAAAGTCCAAGCACATGATGGCACACAACTATAACCCATGGTGTATGAATATGTTGCCTTTGTCCTGTACTTTATGATTAAGATATAATATTCTTTAGATATACTTTAAATTCTGTACAGAGATCTTTTCCATATACTGATGCTTGACATCTCCAATTAATCCCTGGCTTCTGTGGTTAATTAGATTCTGTCAGAGCCTTGTCTGTGTTTAGGTACCAGCAGGACTGGTACAATATAAGGGACAATAAATTAAATGTACCTGTCATTTGGATAAAAGGATATATTTATGCAAGTGAGAAAAGAACATTAGTTAAAGGCCCAGAGGTGCTTACACATATCTCATTGCATCTTTAAGAACTCCCCTGAAGCCCCCAACCCATGGTCAACCCTGACAACTCAGTTGTAATTAGCAATGGCTCTGCTTTGGCCATTGGTGCTGCTGCTATCACCAGCAGCAGTGATGTCAGTCCTTTTGGTGATTCCACTGAAGGTACAGGTGTGAATGTGGATGTGGCTGGGAAGAGATAGCTACATATGAATTCACAGAGTATAATAGCACACAACCAGGTTGGACAGGCACTTGACTGGTAACTGCAATACAAGTCCAATTTGCTTCTCTGCTGACCACTGGTGAGATCCCCTGTTCACAACCAAACACAAGGCACACTGGAGTTTGAATTCCTTTATTTTGCAAAAAAGAACATCATGAAATAAAAAGGCCATGCTCACAGTATCAGATCCGCTGCCACCGGAGACATAAAGTGCTGATAAATACTGTGGACCCTGCACGTGTCATGGTGTCACCTCTGTATCAGATCCCGTGGGGTGGAGTATGTTTCTAAGGCACCAAAATCCCTTCATTCACGGTGGAGAGTTGAACCCCTTAGACGCTGGTAAGGACGCAGAGGGTGGTGAATTCTGCCTCCAGCAGTCAAGTACTGGTGTAGTGAAGGGGTTACGTATGATGAGGATGGGGGGGAAGGGGGGATACAGGACAGTGGCACAGACTTACAAAATATATATATATCTTATAGGTTTCTCCTTATTTACACACTGTCACATTGAACCCTTTACGTGTGAGGTATCATGAGACAGGGGCACACATATACACACATACATACAAGCTAACATGGAATGTTTCCAGTTTGGCAATAAAGAACATTGGCAGTTATAAACCCAGCACAGGGGGTCAGGAGTTTATGTATCTGGGCTGGACGTCAGGGCAGCAGGTACCTGACACAGAGGGGAGGTTGGTTCAGTACAGAAAGGGTTAGTAAGTTATGTGCTGTGGAAGGGGAACTGGAAAGGGCATTATGATGGGGTCCATATCCTGGACTTATATTTTCTTGTGTGAAGGAAAGAATGTGCCGGACATATTTTCCTGCTGAGCAGGTCAAGTAATGGATAACAAGATGTGAAAAAGATGATGGTCCAGTCAACTGCAGGATATAGAAAAGGGGATGGCATATCAGTCACAGATAATAGTCAAGAGCTGAACATACCGATAGAGGTCTAAGCGGTAAGTGCCAAATACTATGATACGGGTTCATGCATGAATATGAGGGTCTAGTCAAGTGCCAAACAGATCATTGCAACACCTAGTATTTGTCTGGACCCTCTTGAGGGGACAGCCATGTGCCAGCCCACGGATACGATGGCTCAGTTAGTGTCTGGTGTGGATATGAAAGTTCAGTCACACCACAGCTATGAGATCATGTGCCAGGCCACCAATATGAGAGTCTACCATGGTGATGGTTATTGAGAAGGTTCAGGGCAAGTTAGACAAGTGATGCAAACAGGCATTTGACAAAAAATAAAAAGTAATTTAGCAAACAAGCAGAAATCAGGGAGGCATAAACCAGGCCCAGTCATGAGGGCAGTCAAGTATTCAGAAACAGTCAGTAACATATGTTTGGTGATCAGGAAGGGTTTTAGCACAGAAATAAATGGAACAGGCCCAAGCTCTTGGAGATCAGAGCCTGTACCAACATTCCACCAGCATGGTGGGAGCAGTGTAGGAGATGGTCATATGAAATAGGGGATCTGCTACTTTGTGTTTAACCAAGAAATGTGATGCAGACTTGCAGTTTCCTGGTGCTTTGTTATTGCTTCTAATATATGCTTTGGTTTGTGTCCCCATTAGGAAACCAGCAAGGGGTGGTACACATTACTGTAGCTGGCTCAGATGATCCTGATGGATCCCCCCTTGCCCTGTGCTTTGGGTATGATCTGGAGAAGGTCACATACAACACTCTAGAAACAGACCCACAACAGCAGCACCACTCTGCCACCAACACAGCACATTAAGGGAAAAGACTGGTGCAGGGCAGGACAGAGACAACCCCAAGACTAAGACTTGTGAACTTTCTGCAGGACTTTTTTTTAATTTTCTGTCTCTCAAAACCCAAATGAAATAGTTGAGCACCTATGTTAAAATAGATTATGTTTGCAAAATGTTTCACTACAAACAGGTGCATATCTTAGACCATATCAGAGGAATACTTTAAATGAATATAGTGCTTTTTTATCCATCTATAGAGAGGACACAAGAGAAACTGCTGTCCGACAGAAAATTTGGTTCATTTAATTGCACACTGTTTTGCCATGCACCACTCTTCTGCAAAACCAAATCCACACCAACTTCACGTCAGCGAGAATTTCAACTGCAGGAAAGTTTGGGGGTGGAATCAGGACTGATTGCTTCATGACACCCCCCAAGTGTTAGGTGGTGAACCTAAGAAGAGGGATAAAAAACTTAACAAAACTACAGAGGACGTACACACATGTAACACACACACACACACACGCGTATCTCTCCGCCAAGCATGGCGTCTATATAAAACACTGTCCACATTCTGCAGTGGAGGATAAAACAGGAATAAGTTAAATAAATAAAATTAAATATAAAAAATGCATGATATAGTAACCAGGGCCTGGAATGGACATAACCGAACTGTGCCCTGATACACAGCTGTACACAACACAACCGAGGCCAGTGACAGTCTGCAAACCCTGTAAGTGTCGCTCTATGGAAAAACAAGGGTTAAATCAAGACAAGTTAAATATTTACAAGGCAGGGAACCCAATGGTGTTACAAGACCCCGCTATGACCTGTTTTCCGACTTCCATCTTTCCACAGAACGTGACTTAGAGGGAGCATTGGACAAAAGGCAGTGGGGGATGGTGTGGGGGAGGGGGGAGAGGGTGAGATGAGGGTAAACTGCACGCCCACTCATATCTGCCATCTTCCCACAAAAAAAAAAAAAAAAAAATACCACTGATACCGCATGGCACAAAATCTCATTAACATAAAGGGAGTCCCCGCCTACCTACGATACCTAAAATCTGGGGAACCCCTCGATTTTCACGTCACAGATATGAAATAACTCCATCGTCTCTCCACAAAGTCTTGGGGGTGCACTTAAAACACAGGAGAGGAGCAGCAAGGAGATTTGGGGAACAATAGTGCACTGAGATTATTAGTGGGTAACAAACATCAGGAAAGGGGGTGGGGAGGGGGAAGGTGTCCCTCTGAGTCATATGGCTTCACGATACCAAAACATCGACGTCCTCACTGTGTGCAAGCTCCTGATTGGCCAGAGAGTCCAGGCAGTCTAGTGACGAGAGGGGCGGAGAAGGTGTGTGAGGACGCGGTCCCCCCTCGAGAAGTTTTGCAGAGAGAGAGTGAATGGTGTGCACACCGACCTCGCCTAGTGGTCAGCACAATATTACACCAAAGGTGTGCAGTCAAGGCTCTGCTCTCCCAAGCACAAGGCACTGGAACACGGGCACCTTGTCACACGGTCATAGAAGAAGATTGAGGAGTGGGCATGCCATGGGGCACACAGTGCCATGGCTGGTGAAGATCGGCTGCTAACCCGGGTAAAGGATTCAGGCGCTGGTCACACAGGTCCTGTCGGTGGCTCTGTGGAGTCTCTGTGGCAGTGCCATAGCTTTGCACATTGCCCGTCATCCTTCTAGTCATGTTGGCCTCCAAGTGGGCCGCTACCTATCAGTTTCTGGCTCATCTTGGGGTCCTGGGGAGTTGAGGTTGAGGGGAGAAGGGACAGAGAAGGGGTTCACAAGGTTCAGCTATTACTTGAGACCATGTTGATAACTTGTTCCATTTTCTGGCGCAGTTTGTGTTTTCGGCAATAGGAATCTCGGTCCAAAGCAGTGAGGATCTGCAAGAGAAAGTGAATTATTATAGAAAGAGTATACCATATGGTGGATGGAGCGGGTTCTTCTCAAGCAATTGATACTAAGAACATACTATCTCCAGTGTCACTAGGTGGTAAAATGCAGTTGAGTTTCCTAGACTTAAAATAACTAAAAGCCACCTAGTGGTATCTGCACATACCTGGAGCAGCCTCCGAAGCCTTGTCATTATGGCCAAGCTTCAGACCATTCTAATGAGCAAATACCTCTGGGTAGTGTGCAGCTTGCTACATTCTGCCCTCAACATATTCCTACTGAACCATCACTATGATAGGCTTACTAAAGTCAGAGTCCTCTGAAGGTAGGGAAGGGGGATTTGTCACTCCTGTGACTCATTTAGCTGCGGGTGTGTAAATTTCAACTTGCGCTATTGGGTTCTGTAAGCAGCAGGAATTTTTCCACAGAGGAGAAATCTCAGAAATCCACTGTGCATTCCCTTTGAAGAGAAACTATAAAGGCTTTTGGCAATTTTAAAAATTATATATATATACATTTTTATTTCATTTTGATTAAAGAGATGTTATAAAACAATTTTAAAATGTAATTTTTAAGCACTGAACACAAAGTATATAAAAGATCACTGGTAACACCAGCCATGTCTCTTACTAGCACCACACCAGGCTCTTACCTCCTCTCTATATTTGTTGACATAGAAAAAAAGCTCACTGAGAGCACTCAGGGAGTTGAATTCATTTGCATGGAGGCGAGACTGCTCAACAAGATAGGCGTCCATGTCCTGGTCGCTGATTGCAGGCATCTTGCCGATGTCTCTATAATATCTGTATAAGAGAGAGGGAAAGACTTTAGAGATGTGATTTGTTCATAGTAGGACATCCTAAAGCCAATATTAGCACACAGAGCTGCTCCTGTATCTCCAGGTATTGCATAGGCAAAGTGGTGGTCAATTTACTGCATAAAGGGTGCCTCAAATGCTGCATATAATATTCAGTAAATGTAATGTTAAAGAAAGCTGTCCGAGACTGCAGACATGCAACAGCTATTTTCAAAAAGATCAGAGGGAAAAAACAAACTAAAAGGAATGGACAGCACAGCGCGAAGGAAACAAATCGAGCAATTAAAAGTTCAAATTTTATCTGCTTACATTTTGCCTTTTCGTATTCCTTCCACCACCCTTATTAACATGCTAATGACATTAAAAAAAATTCTACTTTCATTGCATACCATATTTTATACCCAGTGATGTCATCACTGGGCACTGTGCTACTCTATGCAATGAAGGCAGATCACGGCTGGTAGTTGGAGAGGCTGACAGGATGTGTACATAGCTTCCTCAAAACAATACAACAACACCCTTTCAAGAGCATTCAGCCCTGGTGCAAACACTGATCTGGCTCTTGTGTGTTATGCACATATCAAAATCATACATAACTTAACTGTTCATATCACAATCATAAGTATGAAACCTAAACCTGAAAATTAATATATACCATCCCCTTAAATAAAATGCAATACTCCAAATAACACCAGTCTTGTGCAATTCTATAAATGAAACCGGTCCTGTATATGGAACTAATCCTAAAAATAAATATATAATGTCCCCTTGGATAAAGTGCAATTCTTCAAATGAAACCAGTCCTGTAACTCCACAATAGTGTTCCAATACGTGCAAAAAAGTGCTGGTGCTCTAATTATAATAAAGTGCTCCACTGGACAGTGCTCCTGTGCCCCAAATAGATGTAAACTCACCCTGTATTCTTGACCACCTATCTCTAGTATGTTCAACAGCGCTTGTGGGGCAGACCCCTTTGCCATCTGTTTTTATTAATCTCCCGAAACTGTACTGCTTGGGAAGGCATATGTTCTCAAAAAAGAAGAGAGGGCAACTTGTCACCTATACACGAGCTGAGTATACTGGGTGCCGGGTGATAGGGCACCGTTTATGTGAGTGTATTTTTTACACTTATTTAATAAACTTTTTGGTGTGGTTTTACGCTATGGGACCTTCTCTTCTTTTTTGAGAACATATGCCTTCCCAAGTAGTACGGTTCCGGGAGATTAACAGAAACGGATGGCAAAGGGGTCTGCCCCACAAGTGCTGTTGACCATACTAGAGATAGGTGGTCAATAATACAGGGTGAGTGAGTCCACATCTATGTGGGGCACAGGAGCACTGTCCAGTGGAGCACGGTTAACTTATACATAACTTTGTGGTTTTTATTTACTTGCAGCAATCACTAAGATACACATATATTATTGATCTGAGATTTGTTTGCCTGAGCGCAGAGAAATTTCTTTTGATTCACATATCAAAATGCCTTGATGGACGGATATCAGTTTGAAGGAGTGTATATAACTGAGCAAGCTGCCATAGGTAATGTTCACATGTGATGCTGAGCCTCCATGATTGAAAGAACTGAAATCCAATAAATGGAAGGGTTCGGCCACGGACAGTCAGGTTGAGGAGGAAAGGACCAGATGATGCTGGATTTCCTCCAAACATATATTCAGATTAGGACAGCCAGAGAAAGTCCTGAAAGAAGGTCTTATCCACTTGCCTATTCTGGTTATTAAAGCAAGCGAGACAGCAGGGGTAGCCAAACAACTATCGTTTCTGAACTGTCTATCTGAAAATACTTTTCTTCTTTATTCATGATAGGTATACAATGAAATGCACTAATTCCATGATATCTTCCTGCATGTTCTGCCATGTGAGCATGGAAAAAACAAGTAAATGTGATCCCAATCCCAGCCCTCACCTTTCCACCCAGGTCTTATAGTTAGGGATGTCCTTGGCATAGAGCAGTTTGTTACTTGGCGAGTCCTTCCCGAGTCGATGCTCAGAGGTGGAACATGAGTCCATGAATGTCTGAGCCACCACAGAGAGGCAGGCGTCTGTGATGCTGTTCTTGTGAATGTCAAAGACAAACTGCGGGTTTTTGATCACATTCACCCAGAAGCGGAGCGGCAAACTGAAAGCGGGTCAGAAGAAAAACAAAGAAACATTATCTGCAGAACTTGGAATAAATCAAATAAAATGTCCCCTTCCCAGCTAAAGAACATAGTGCTTGTTGGATATAGGGGATGGTCTAGAACAGCGGATTTTTTTTCTCACTCCACAGTCCTGCAAGACCCAGCTGTCCTTTTCTCTACTCTCCAGCAGCAGAATGTGGAAGGGCACTCCTACATTATCTGTACAATGCAGGACTGGTGGTGGTCCTGCACTGTATGTGATGATGTCGGCATGAGGCACAGTGGCAAGACCAGTCAGAGGCCAGCATGAAGAGCAGTTTCATGGCACCGGTTGTCACAACTTCAACTTGTGGGAAGAAAGACTGAGGGAGACTGTGCAGTAGGGTAAATAATACTGTTTTAGATCACCCCCTAGACAAAATGAGTACTATAGCTGTAAAGAGAACAAACCAATTTAATTATATGATGTCCAGCATTAGATTCTAAACTGGGAAAAGATTACTGATAAAATCATGGGACTTTCAAAGACAAAATACAGCACATTGGAAAGAGTTACAGCAGAAAAAGACCAGGTGGTCCATTTTTTTTTCTGCACTTTACAAAATTCACAATAGTATTGAGTCAGTACACATTTTTGAATCATTACTGCAAAGTTATCTAAAAGTGATTTTTGATATGGCATTCACATTTGTTACATGCTTGCTATGCATTTTTATTCTACGAGAATTCGCTACAGGACAGTCTACACCCTGGTTGCTGCATTCTTCTTCTGGACATGCTTGCACTATATTCTGCACCCTGCTCCATGAGTACCCCATATGAAATACACCAAAGGGAATGAAGAAGACATTGGGACAGTATTGGAGGAAGCTGCAGAAGATTTTTATCCCCCTAAGATGTCATTATAATGAAGCGTAAAATAACTCACACACCCCCAAAGGGGTCTTCAGAGACTGGGTTCCATAGGGATCAGCTACGGCCCTGGACCTGTGACTGACTACATGCTTTGCACTAAATACCAAGGTGTGTGACCATGCAGGATCCAGAGCCCAGAGCAACATTGCAGGTTGTCCCCACATCATAAGGTCTGGGTTAGACTCCCAAGGTTTACTGAGGTTGCACTGATCTGAATACACTGCTTCTATCTGTGGCATTAGAAGGCAGTGAGGAGTTGATAGAAGAATTCAGAGAAAAAATAAAAAAGGATAATAAAAAGAAAATAGTTACGCAAAAAGTGATTTTTCCGTAAAGGAGAAGAGAGCCAGCATCGTAGGACACTAGCACAAGACTCACACAATGGGGTAGAGTTATAGGGGAAGTGCCCAGTGGGTGGGTCCTCAAAAGCTTGCCATTGTTCATTGTTCAATTACTTGAAGGTATGAGCCTATAACCCATGGCGTATGAATACTTTGCCTGTGTCCTGTACTAGAAGATTAGAAATATTTTTGTACCTAAGCATAGAATCAGAAAATGTTATATCTCATGAAGTTCTGAACTAGATCTCTTCACATGAAATCTATCAAATGTCAGAAGTTTGTGTGTAGGTTTGCTCTGGTTTGTCAGACAGTTCTCATCTTCATTTGTATTAAGGGCACATTCATACGAGAGGTGTTTTTTCTGCTCAGAATTATAACTTTATTAGCTCACCAGTTGCTTTTCCATGTGTGCCGGACATCTGGATCTGTTATTTGCCTTTTATCAGCTTGCTCATCTAAAAAGTCGAACATGTATTTGATGGCAAGAGGCAGAGCGCTGCCCCGGTGGGCTGTGCTGAACACAGTCTCAAACAGGTCATCCACGAACTTCTGCAGTGTACCCTGCAAGGGGAAGAACAGCAAAATATTTGTCAGCCCTTCGCCCACAAGTCTACATACACAACACCCCAGCCTTTTAGCCATAGTGGTAAACAATGTTGTTACCTTAGTGGCCAATAACCGGGTGAGGTAAATCTCTGACACCATTTTACTGCCACGGTCACCCTCTTTATGGTCCGTGTGGTCATGATTCTTCACCAGATGCCAGAGTTTAGTGCCCGTTTCTTGGTCAGGAGTTATCATGGGAGCTCGCGATCTCAAGCTGTCTGGGCTGCTGGATGTCCGTAGAAGACTCTCTGAAATGGGAAATTGACTTCCATTGGTACAACTAAACAATGCAGAGAAGAATCTGACAAAAAGGACTAATCAGTGACAGGGCATACATAATCCAGCAGTGAAAAAAATTTACTTATATAAATAAATAATAAATATATATAAATATATTTACAGTTGTCACTAGCCCACGCAGTCACACAATTATTTCACAAGTTTTACATGAGAAGAAACAGACAGGACCAGCAATGAAGAAGATATTGAATTCTCATGGCTGCTATCTTCAAATTCATACACTTTTTTCCTGTTTTCTAAATATGAACATGGTGTCAAAAAACGTAGTTTACGTAGTAAAGAAAATAGGGAACTTAGATTGGAGGGCAACAGTTAAAAAATGAGTAATATACTTACCATAACGGCTGAGCGAACGAGTAAAGGTGAAGGAGTTGGTGATGTTGTAGGCCGATACCTGCTTGGGAATGAGAGCCACAGTGGAGCCATCTGTGACCTGTTAAAAAGCATAAGATGCAACTTGTAAATCCAAAACTATAGAAGGAAGTGCCATGAGAAGAGGAGACACAGAAGAGGTGAGCATGAACTGCGTATGCTGTATGACTCACCTGGTAATGTGCCAGAGTATTTAGTCTCTTCCAGTCGCACTCAATTTTGGTGGTGACATCCTCATCCTGGAGCACAATACGGGTGATGCGGCCCTGACGCCATTCTGCAGAGAAACACAAATGAAATGCAAATTACATCACCGGTATGTTTTATTGACTTAACGTGATTGTAAAGGCTCAAGGCTTTTTACCTTTACGCATTCTCTGCATGAAGGTAGTACTTCATGCATTCTCTGCATGAAGGTAAAAACCTTCTCTGCGTAGCAGCCCCCTAACACTTATCAAAACCCCATCCCGATATAAAAAATGTCCACAAGAGCCACGATTCTCTGGGGACTCTCAACCCTGGTTGGCTGAGGCAGCAGCGGGTGCCATTGGCTCCCACTACTGTTAATCACAGCCAGTGAGCCAATCAGAAGAGGGAGGGAGTGGGGCTGAGTCACAGCTCTGTGTGTGAATGGACACGCAGAGCTGCGGCTCGGGAGCAGATGGACACGCAGAGCTGTGGCTCGGGAGCGCGTCTGCTCAGGTGCCCCCCATAGCAGGAGCACCGGTGGGGGAACAGAGAAGAAGAGGATCCGGGCTTCTCTGTGCAAAACCTCTGCACACAGCAGGTAAGTATGGCATGTTTGTTTTTTCTTTTTTGATTAAAAAAAAAAAAAAGACTTTATCACTTTCAAATATATTTTATTGATAAAAACAGACTACTCATTAAAAGCAAACCCATTACCCTTTAGAATGCTTTGCTGTAAGTTGCCAAAGTGTCCTACAGAATTGTCTATTAAAATCCAGTAAACTCATTTCACACAGTGTTAAACACAAGGGGAAAATAAGATTTTTGTCCTCACCATAAAATCCTTCTTTTGGAGTCCACTGAGGGACACAGGAAGTGTTAAACATTAGGGTTATACAGCTGCTTACAGAAGGATAGGACACTGGGAAACAAAAAAAACCCAAAAAAACACATTTTTTGTAGCAAAGCAGTACCAAGAGCATGATCATAAACACAATGGACTCCAAGGAAAGGATTCTATGGTGAGTACAAAAAAATCCTATTTTTGTTCTCTTCCACTGAGGGACACAGGAAATCCTAAACCTTTGGGATGTCCAAAAGCAATCTCACTAAGGAGTGGGCAACAAAGCAAGCAACCAACAGGACCAACTTTAACAGAACTGGGGGTTACCTCCAGCTCAAAGAGATGCCTGAAGTACCTTACGCCCTAAGCTGTTAATCAGATGAGGCAGAAACATCCACCTGGTAGAACTTATGAACAGGTGAACAGAAGACCAAGTAGCAGTCTTGCAAAATCTCAGAAATAGAGGCCTGATGCCAAAAAGTCCATGAAGCACTCATTGCCCAAGTGAAGAAGGCCTTATTTGGAAAAGGGGGACTCTGATTTTTATGGCCATAAGCCTGAATGATGATCTACCTGAGCCACCAAGAGATAGTGGAATATGAAGCTTAGCACTCTTCCTGGGTCAATCAGTGACAAACAGGAATTGGTCTGTCACGATCAGGGGTCAGGCTCAGAGACCAGTAGGTATAGCAGTAGAGAAGCCCCCACCAACGAGCTGGATATGTACACAAGCAAGTCACCTGGGTGGATGACGTGGGCTCACCTGAGGTGTGGGGTCTAGGCACTAACTGGTATTCCCCAGAGCTCTTGATGGTGGAGATGAGTTTTGCTGTGTGTTAGTACCAGGCTGGGATGCAATACCACTTTGTCCCTGTGCAGGATCATAAAGGGTTCCTTACAGGATAAACCTTGCAGACACTTGCCTTGCCAGTGTGATGGCCCACATGAAATACAGAATAAAGAATAAAGAGAGGAATATCTCTCTGACAGGTTCAAATGGGCCTTCTAAAGCAACAAAAGAACCAGATTTAAATCCCATGGAGGAGACTGGACTTCAGGGACAGGTGGGTAAGGAGGGGGGGGGAAATCGCATAGAAGACCCCTGCACAAAGAAGCCCTAATCAAACTGGGAAGTCAGTGGCCTCTGAAACAGAATATAAAGGGCAGAGAGATCAGCCCATTTCAGGTACTAAGAGCCAACATTGGTCCAGAACCAACTGCAGAAAACTCTTAGACTCAAACCAAGCAAGCTACGCCTTCCATATCTGATGACAGACTTTGAAAGAAGTGGACTTCCTGGTCTTCCTAGCATCAAAGGATCAGAGACTCAGGGATGTCCCTGTCCTTTAGAATCTGCGCTTCAACAGCCATGTGTTTTACGCTATGGAAGCTCGCCTCTTCTTGCTTTCCTCTTGGGTGAACGGGAGATAATATTATCCAGAGAAGTATGAGATAGCAGAATCACGGCACTGCAGAGTGTTCTTCCAGAGCAACATGCATTTTAGCTGGTTTTATGATCTGACCAGCATATCGCTCTGGTGAGTTCATTCAATTCATTTGGTGGTGGAACAGCACAGTTTGGTGGTGTGAAGAAGCTCTAAAGAAGTTTATTTGTTCGGGTGGACTGCCTAATATACGAGACGGATGTTCTAGAATTTTAGAACTATTTTGCACTTTATTTGGACACTATTTGCACTTTATTTGAGTTATTATTTTGCACAATGCAAAGAGATGGTATATGGCATCAATATTTTGTTATACATGTATATGTAAGCACTGCATTTGCACTTTTATTTATATATGGTAGAGTGGGGGATGTTAGATGGTATTAAGGTTTCTGTTTTGCACATATTTGAATAGTGGAGATATTTGAAGTGATCTTTGCACCTTATACTAGTGAGTGGTATTACATTTTCATATGGTTTGAGTATGGGGTAGTTCTGGAGCAGATTACAGACTGAGTTGCACATTTTTTATAGGGAGGTAATTGATTGTATTGCACATTTTTGGTCATCATTTTAGAGAAGGCCAGCGCTGTTCCATTATTTGCCAACAAATAGAAGAACACAGATTACCACCATTGTGACTTCATAATGTCATCATATTCCCGCCAACACCACACATTAATAAACACAGTTAATATCTAAATTGTTAAATTCTTATTCTAACGCGTAAAAGCCCAAAGCTATGGTGGTTGGGCCTGATGCAGGTACACTGTGTAATGACAAGAGATCATGGCGGGAAATAAAACTGCTGTTACTGTGTTACTTGACTGTTGTCAGGCTGTGTGGAGCAAAAGGTTTATGTGCAGACCAATGATTGCAAGCTGAGGGAAGCCAGCAGGAGGGCAGAGGTTAAGGTTTCCTGTGTCCATTGGTGAGTAGCATGTCCCTCAGTGCCGTTACTATATTGATGGTTGGCCATTAGAAAGTGGGTGCTGGCGGATGCACAGTGGAAAGCCGACATCACTACCCAGCATCTGCATCTTTGCAGGCATACATCAGGCAGTCAGTAATCACGTTGCTTACTTGGTGGTTGCCATTGGCAACACACTAACATAGAATGGAAGCTGAGAGCAATGTGAAAACAAAAGAAACACTCCTTAGCAGGAGCGTATGGAGAGGTCTTGGCAATCTGCCCCTCGGCGTTTCTGCTGGGGAAGATGATAGCATTTAACCCAAGCAGCATCCTTGATGACAGAGTCCAGAGCTGGTGGATGATCCACCATGAGGATAAATGTTTCTTACGAGAATGTTCAGCAGTCAAGCAATTTAGCCAAAGGGCCCTATACAAACAACCTGCTGCCACCAATTTCAAAATTACCTTATTCTCTTAAAATGTTACATTTTCTCAGTTTAAGCATCTGGTGTGTTTTCTATATTCTATTGTGAATACAAAATATGGGTTTATGAGATTTGAAATTCATAGCATTCTGTTTTTATGTACGTTTCCACAGTGTCCCAACTTGTTTGGCATTGGGGTTATATGTATTTGGAAGATGCTAATGTAGGAAATTATCCAGGAGGCTTCTAATGACCATCTCTGCTAAAGTTCTTATTCATGACATCTGTTTTACGCTTTCGATTATCAATGGTCAAAGAGTGCAGTAAGACTCATTTTAAAGCATTCGGACCAAACAGACATGGTTTGGCAAAGCAAGATTACAGTCAAGATAATAGGTAAGACAAGATCCTTCCTAAGAGAAAATAGTCTGGAAAGGGTCTCCACCTGTTTATTGATTGGGTCCCTAAACATAGGTGTCCTCCATGGCTGCAGTAGTCACCTTGTTAATGGGAGACATAGCTGGATCCACAGTGAGAACAGACTTCTGAACAACATCCTCCACAGCCAAAAAAGCAGAGGATCGAGCCACACCTGATGGAACCATAAAGGACTCTGATGAGGAAAGAAACTCCAAACAGACAGCAGCATGGTTCCAGGCTACAGATGCCTCCACTGTCATGCATGTTGCAAGCGGTCTCCAAATCTTAACTGAAGAGTGCGCTTTGAGCACCTGGTACAGTAGGACTGTCTTCCCATGTTTAGATTTAGACATGTGAAAACTGCAGCTTAATAAGCAACATACAGACTCAAGGACTGAGGCAAGGCCTCTAGTACACACTAAACTTAGACAGCTGTTAGCAAGTGAAAAAACAAACCAGAGGGTCGGGCATCTGAAGTAGACCAAAGTCATAGTAGGCAGGCAAGAGAAGCAGACTGAAGTTCCACAAGGCCCTTTGCAGCAGGAGCAGCAGTGGGGAGATATGTCCACGATGTTTGCACAAGCAACAATCCAGCTAAGTAGAATAATGCAAAGATGGCCAAAAACAGAGAATAATAGTGCCCAGCGAATAATTTAAAAAAAGGGGGCGCTCCAGTTGGCCTGAATGTCCTACTTAAGCAAGTCTTCTCTTCAGAGTTAGGGCACATGCAGAGGAAATACCAGCGGCTTTTGACCTGGAAAGTACTCCACCACTAACTTAACCAGAATTAAGTCTGAAATATATCATGCAGGGCTCAGTGACTGAGGGTCACTTCCAGGCTCACCCTACAATGTCCTGGGTTCGGGAACAGATCCAGTATAGTCCAAAATCCAATAGCTGAGAGTCAGTGGTGAAAACCAGCAGTAGAGAGTCTTGATTGAAGAAATGAAAAGGTTGGTAGAAAAATCACACTAATCTTTAAAACAGCAGAGTTGAGAAAAAAAAAGGACAGACATTCAATCTCCTAGGACACTAGAAAAAAAAACAACAGAGGTCTGCTAGTAGTAGGAAGGGTTTTACCCTGGGCTGGCCTACAGTATTTTTTGTTTGCCAGGGTCCAAACTTTCTGTAGGCAGCAGTATAACCCAAAGGCTTAAAACGTCCTATATCCTTCAATGGATGAGAAAGAAAGATCTTTATTCAAGCCATGCAACAGTCACTTTTAATTTTTATTGGACCTAGCTGAAAGTAACTTACTTTTGAAAATAAAGATCCTTCTACTGATTTGTGCAGTGAACTAAGTATTAACCTTTGTAAGAGAACATCTTTTATCACACCTGTGAGTCTGTAGGGATAAAAAAAAAAAAAAAAAAAGGGTAAAAACCAGTAGTTAGAGCCAGGGGCGGACTGACAACTGACAATGGGGCCCCCGGGCAATAGGGGATCATGGGACCCCTGTGTCCTTACCCAAACTCAAAAAAGCCTATGAAAAAGGTACCAGGGGCATCTCTTGGGGCCCCCTACTGACCCCGGGCCCTCGGGCAGTGCCCGAGTTTCCAAATGGTCAGTCCGCCCCTGGTTAGAGCACCTTAAGGACCAGAGTTTGGGAATGCTTGCTCTCACACACAACACATGGATAAGCAGAACTGTGAAACCACGACCCTCACCTAAGTCCATATCCTCCGCTTTTGGCCTCTGTGTATAGGGAATCCCTTTGTACACAGCATCCAGAAGCTTGTCCTTCACTTGGGTAATCGTATCGCAGTTTAAAACTTTAACAGGAATCTCTGTGCCATTCTCACTGTCTGGGCAGATGCAGCTCAGAGTCTGCGGTGAAAAGAAAAAACAAACAGTTATAAAGAATCAGCCACAAATGGGCTCATGCAATAATCTGAATTTGAAGTCTTAAATGATTTATAACCCCCCACTCTCTTTTTTAGGTTTCCTTAATTCAAGCCTGACATTGCAATTGGAGTCTCACACATTTTAAAAGGTTACCCAAGGTCTGATCTTGGTTGCCCATCAACTGCCTTACTTCACACAATGCACACAATGAGAAAAGAAAAAACAGAGGGCGCACAGGCCTAGTGCATTACCATAAAAAATGTTTAATAAAAAAATAAAGTAGGTTTTGTACTCACAAACGACAATATAGTCAAGGCACATCATAAACAACAGCTGGGTCAACACCGCGCTGAGTAACAGTCCGCAATAGGGAGTGTAGACATCCAATAGGCTGACGCGTTTCGATCCACTGTGGCTCTGAGGAAAAGGCAATTCCTGGAAACGCGTCAGCCCATTGGATGTCTACACTCCCTATTGCGGACTGTTACTCAGCACGGTGCTGACCCAGCTGTTCTTTACGATGTGCCTTGACTATATGGTCGTTTGTGAGTACAACACCTACTTTATTTTTTTATTAAACATTTTTTATGGTAATGCACTAGGCCTGTGCACCCTCTGTTTTTTCTTTCCTCATTCAGTATATTTGGATTCCCCCGGTCTATTTGAGGGCAGCAAGGTGTGCATGTTCCAGGACATTCTTAATGTGGTTGTAGCCTGCATCGAGTCCATTCCCAAGCGCAGGAGCATTTGTGTTTGCTGACACAAGCGGAGTTAATGTAAAAGGTCAGGCAGAAGATAGGCCTGCAACTATCAAACTTCAGGTGACCCTTTAAGTGCCTCCCTTAAGGTAGCTCCCATACTTCTATCTGGACAGGTTCGTTTACAGTGGTCACAACACCTAAGTTTGCAGTTTCCAAGTGTATTAGTAACATGCACTGTACATGTGTTTTATTGATAATTGTACCCCAAGTTATGTCAGTGCAGGAAACAACTCCCCTAATCCATCACACACCACAGTGCTTACATGTGACTACACATGAGCTGTATCACAGTGCATTGGTCAAAAATGGCTTGGGTACGTTTTTTTGAGTGTTGATTCTTGCTGGAGACCAATAGGAAATGAATGGGCCTAAGCAGCACGATGAGTATTAAAACAAACACACATAGGAGCAAATGGGCCCTCAGGCACAAGGGAGACCTTCACTTTGTTCTCTAACTCATACTTGTGCATTTCTTACTTTCTCTGGTTATGTTTAGTTACATGTTTTACCCCTTTCCACTATTGATCACCATACTCTGTTATTTTCATTCTTGCCTATATTTTTAAGGTTTCTGTGCAAAATGAAAGTTGCTGAAACACCCTATTCTAATCATAGCGGTTAGTCAATCAAAGAGCACCTTCCTTTAGAGAGAAACCATGTGTAAAGACATGCATTGAAATATATATAAGGTCCAAAATGGGATTTACTACCTTTGGGGTTTCATATAGGCTTTGCTTTGGCAGTTGCCTTCTCTGACATAAGGTGGGGGCTTGTATCAAGCTGGCTTGCAGCGCAAGAATGTGCAGCCTGTCAAAGGCTTTGACAAAGACAGCATCTTGGCACTCAATGTGAACATTACAAGTATTCCACATAAGTTGAGCAGTTCAAAAATATAATTATTCAAAAAACTAGTAAATGGTTATGTTTACAGTATGTTTAGACTGTTTCAATATATTCTTTGCCCATTGCAGAAAAATAACTTTCTAAACTACGCATATCCTTTAAGAGATGTGAAGAGGGGCAGATGGTGAAAGACCTATGTTGGAAGGCTGCATCATAATATACTTGGGAATATATAGACCATTAAAATAAACTGACCAGGACTTTGTAGTCGATCTGTTGCCGGATGAGTTTGTCCTCACTTAGTGAGTAGCGGGCTTCCCCAGTGATGGCATCAATAGGGCCTTTCTCCATCTGCTGCTTTATGGCACAGAAGAGCATAAAGAGTGGCTCTCCAGCACATTCCTATAAGGCAGAAAATACAATCCTGTTACCACCATCTTTTACTTATATCTGTCACATGATTTGGCCACAATGGGTCAGTGCTGAGGGTAGTTAAAATGATTGTAACCACTCTTTATAAAATAACAAACCAGTTTATACTTGCCTGCTCCATGCAATGGGTTTACACAGCGCAGCCCATACCTCCTCTTCTAGGGTCCTCCACCAGCGATGTCCGGTCCTCCTTTTTTTGGTGTGTTACCATAGGAAGTCTCTTCCTATGATGGCACACCAGCATGCTCAATTCCAAGGCAGGCTCTTTGCATCTATTGACACACACAGTGCAGCTCAGTCCCACCCCCAATCCCTACCATCATGATTTGACTAACATCAGCAGGAGCCAATGGCTCCTGCTGCTGTCAGCCAAGCTTGTGAGAGTGAGGAGAGGGAGAGAAGAACTGAAGCCAGGCACAGCTTTAGATGCATAAAGGATTCAGATAATTATTAGGGAGGGAGGCACTGCTGTTGTAAAGTTCTTACCTTAATACAGAGAATGCATTAAGGTAAAACACCTTTAGGACCACCAGAATGCGGTTCACACGTTTCATGCACGGTTTCCACTCCACACTGTAGTTACAATCTGCAACAGCTGTCATTAGTAACTTAATGACACCCCAAACACAGATCCCAAACGCTGTGTTTTTTTTAAAGTAATGCATGCAATATTGTTTGACATGCGTCGCCCTTCCACGTACTCCTTGTTGTGAAAGGCCAGTTGTAGACTGAGGAAGTGGCCATTTTTTGTACTGTTGACTTTTGGTGAGGGGGCGCACTGGACACCATGGCTGCCACTGTGCTATATGCTGGGTGTCCAGTGCACTCCTGTACCTTTAAGGAGGGGGTGGGCTTCCCTCTGGTTCACCTGCCCTTGGTCTATTCATTAAATACATGTGCCACTACTATGGGGGCTGTCAAAATTTGTAGAGTTAGGAACTGCAGAATATCGGGGTGCCGTGAAGAGGCCCTGCAGCTTATGCATGTATTTGCAAATGTGTGTTAACTAAACCCGTTTTTAACGCATACTGTTAGACAGGCTAATTCAGTTTGTTTGCAAAACTAGTTGGTAAGTTGAGCTGGGAATTTTCTTTTATTGTTTGACATGCGTCACCCTTGCATGTGCTCCTTGCTGTGAAGGCCAGTTATAGATTGGGGCAGTAACCATTTCTTGTACTGTTGACTTAGTGCACGCACTACATTTAGTGTGGTTTGGCACAATTTCATCCCATTCTAATGGAAAAAAAAAAAAAATCACTGAAATCGTAGTGCGCCCAGATCACATGTGAATTGCACAGGAATGCCCAGCGTGCTCCTGTGCAATTCATGGTGTGAATCAGCCTTTAGGCTTTACAACCACTTTAATCTTATTATAGACCTTATGCAAAGGCTTGAACACCCCTTTGGACACTTTTCAAAGGGGGATATAAACTGGATATAAACTAGATATGATACTGGTTGGGAAAAACAAAAACACCATACATGTGTATCCACTTTAATATCCACATTTCTCCCAGGAAAGGGAAATGCCTAACACCCAGAGGCCACTGTAGCCTCCGGTGACCAGTAGGAATCATTTTCCAGAATGTTTCATGCTTGTAGTGTAAACAAAAGCCTGCCTGTGACACCTTCCTGCTTTTGTTATAAACCATTAGCTAGCGCACTCCGTGTAATCCAATCCAGCAGATACTTGCTCAGAAGTGATCTTTAAATTTCATTATAGACCTTACAGCAGTGCTCAAGAAAGCAGATTGCAAATTCTATACATTTACAGGGAATTCTTATTCTGGTTGGTGGTGTCCTGGTATAATCCCAGCACATGTAGCAGTTGTATTGCTTCCAATAATCATTAATTGTATACATTTGTATTAATAAAGAAATTATTCAAGTGAGGTAAAAAGTTACAGATTGCAACAACTTGTGAACAGTTGGTATAAACTAAGCACATTTACAGAAAAAAAAAAAAAGCACAAACTGTGCCCTAAAGTGATTGTAAAGCCTTACATATACCTAGTAAAGTGACCTCAGGTGATACACACAAAAAAAAACAAATCATCCTACTTAAGTTTTACCGGTTTATCTACACCAATTCAAAGTGCAGAATTTGCACAAGATCTTTCAGTTCTGAAAAGCAGGGGGCAGGAAGCTGCTACCATGAGGAGAGCTCTGAAAGCTGATTGGAGGGAAGGGACATGCTCCCCTCCACACAGCACACAGGAACAGAGCTGAGGCTGTCAATCACAGGTTGCGTGCTAGAGCACTCTCCCCATCACCTTTTTTCTTAGGAAAACTTGTCAGAAGTGACTTGTGCTTATAGCACTGAATTGAGGCAAGCACACACTATAGAAAAATATTCCTTGTTCATATTTCATGTCTGAAGTTTACAACCACTCTAAATGTCAAAGTGTGTGTATAGTTATTTCAAGTTGATATTGTGTTGTAAATGTAGTTTTTCAAGATGTCAAGTTGTCCTGCTAAGGTGGGAAACTAGGTTTAGGGATAGCAAAACAGAAGAAGAGAGCTGAGGTTGGCAAAGTTTGGCCTGACCGAGTGTGTCCCATAAAAAGGAATTGTTAAGAGGTGTAAGAGGATATGTAACAAGGGTATTACATCTGTATGGAGCTTCTGATCTTACCTTTAGGAACTTATACAGCAAGAAAGTGAACCAGTTTGTCAACATCTTCTCAGCTACCGACTCCGTCCTGCAAGGAGAAAAATCATACAGTAAATGCACCAGTAGATTTTCAAATTTTTTTTTCAAAAGTTCTTATGAAAATATTTCAAAATTTACTTTGCTTTTAACATTCAAATTTGGAAACTGACTTTTCAGAACAAAAACTACATATGCTGTGAGAAATACTGTTCGCAATTCTAACAAAATTTATTTAATTTGAGAAAAAAATTTCCATTTCATTCTTTTGCTTTTCAGCTTTATAATGGGCTGATTTTCATCTGGGTCCTTAAAGGCTAAGTTCACTTTTTGTAAAAAATAAATAAATAAATGCACATGATTTTGCAGGTAAAAAAAAAAAAGTGCATTTATTATTTTTTACACTGCAGCCCGCTAAGCATTGCACCCGCAATCAGTAGATCATGGGTGCAATGCCAGGCTCTGCAGACACTCAGTACAACTTACTATGTATGACCATCAAAACTTTCTATTCTTTTATACATTCCTTAAGTAAAGCAGGCCACAGATTATGCAATTTTCTTTCCTTCCACCACGAGTGAAAGGAAAGAAAATTGCTCAAATTCTCCCAACAACACAGTCAGCGTTGATGGGGGAATCCCTCCTGTAACGCTATTGGGTCCTGCTGGTAGGGAACCTTCCCCTCCATCAGAATACAATAATTAGTGTTGCTGGCTATAGCTGATACTATAATCGTTCAGGAAAATCTGACAGACTGGTTGTATACAAATCAATCCATAAACTGACTTGTATACAACCTGGGTGCCCACATATGGATTGAAATTTGGCTGGTCCCTGCTAAACCAGATGAATTTCAATCCATGTATGGCCAGCTTCACACTTGTATTGCTACTGCTAAAAACTGTTCACTTTAACCTCTGTGGGCTGCCAACAAATTAAATCTACTGGCACTGTGCTGGGTGTGTTTCAGAGTATGCTGTCAAAGAAAAGTATGAAGTGACTCCTCTTGGTCCTGCCAAATCTCTGGTCTAGATGCCTTTTATTTCCTTGCACACTCACTTTTGATCATGTCATTAGGACACTTTGTAATGGACCATGTGCAACTCTACAAAAGGTTGAACCCACAGAGGATAGATTTCTCCTCACTTTCTGTCCTTATGATCCCAATCACATGAAAACACAGGCAGCAATAAAAAGTGTTTCACGTCCCCTTTATAATGTGTCCTTTTTCAGACGATCCTTCTGTCGTGGTGACCACTGTAACCAGGAAAGCAATTAGTGGGAAAAAAAGGTGATAGAAGTTTTAATCCTGCTCCTTCTATCCAAATTAGACACATTTCTATTTAAAGGATAAGTTCACCTTTCGTAACGTGTTACAAACATATTCAGGGTGTAACATGTAATAAATGGACCCGCATCCCCTTGATCTCCGTAGTGACATCTAGCAGGGGATCCTATCCTCCCTGCTAGTTGTCACAATTTTTAAAAAACGTGGCCATGAGGGGCTCTGCCCACCAGGACGTGTCACTCAATTACAGTATTCTGTGAATGAGAAAACTACAAGTTCCAACAGCCTTTGCAGCTGTTGGCTTGTAGTTCTCAATGAATTACCATGGCACTCCACAGCATCGTAGTAGTTCATTGAGCCTTTTGGTCAATAAGTATCTGCTTGCCATGTGGGATGTACGAGCAAGCAGATACACTGACAGGTCAGAGGGAAACCTGCATGGCACCAGCGATCTTCTGATCACTAGTGCAATGCTTTAGAGGCTCCAGAAACCAAAAAATAATAAATGCACATTTTGTTACCTGCAAAAAAATGTGCATTTATTATTTTTTGTTAAAAGTTGAACTTATCCTTTAAATCACCACACCATCTTTTTTTTCAGTCTTCTCCACGTTCATGAAGTAGTACTATTGTCTCACCTGCGTAGCAGTAGTTTAGGATGGTTCTTGCTCTCCAGATTCTTCTCAATGAGGTCACTCAACAGCTGTTTCAGGACGACTGTTGCATATTCCATGCGGCCCTGCAGCGACACCATAGTCAAGGAGGCCACGTTACCGCGGTCCCGCATGGAGAAGCTGCGTTGGTTTTCCAGCGTATGTATAAAAGTCAATAAGAATGTTTTGTTGTTTAGAAGCTGTCCAAACAGTCTTAAAGCCTTTTCCACATTTGGAGGCATCTGGAGAGAGCAATAATAATGCATAATAAATAAGTATCTGTTCAAACTAAACTTCAGAATTCTAAATTTTAATTAAAAAAAATAAATAAAATAAAACTGAACTCCAGGAATGATCTGTATTGCATACCTACATTGATCCAGCTTGACACAATGCATGCATGCATAACTCATACCTGATTGGCCGCTTGTGTACGTGAAAATCACTGTAGAAGTTGGTGCTACTACAATTATAGCTGTGATCTTCAAGGTTCAACTTCCCCTCTGCACACACAGAACACAGGGGGTCACTTGCTGCGCACTGCCACCATTCATAGAATGCCTTGTTTTTTTTCCCAGTGAACAGAAGGTGTCCTCTAATTGGATGAGATGGAGAGGAAGGCTGGTGATGCCACGATCTCCACCTTGCTCAATCAGAGAATGCCTTGCATTCATTGAAAAAAGTACAAAGCGTTCTACAAATGGCAGAAGTGCCATCAGAACATCCGCATGTATTCAGTGTGCAGAGGGTCGGCTATCGCTGTAGTAGCAGCAACTGCTACAGGGATTTTCAGCTTTACCAGCAGCCAATCAGGTATGAGATATGCATACTTACATTGTGATAAGCTCAGCTTTAAGAACAAAATGTGATTACATAGTGACTGGCATAGTACCACTGGATTGGAATCAGGCCAATGTGGTGCCTATATTTAAAAAGTAATTCTAGACCTGTCAGTTTAACATCTATAGTTGGGAAGATACTGGGGAGTTTAAAAAACACAGAGGAGTTCTTGTTGATATGAGGCATGGAGGAGCTCAGCTATAAGGAAAGATTAGAGGAACTGAAAGTATTCTCTCTTGAGAAGAGGAGATTAAGGGGGGATATGATCAACATGTAAACACATCAGTGGTTCATATAGCTATTTACCCTGAGGTCATCACAGAGGACAAGGGGGCACTCTTTACGTCTGGAGGAAAAGAAATGTAATCTCCAAACACGGAAAGGTTTCTTCACAGTGAGAGCTGTGAAATTGTGGAATAGACTCCCTTAAGAGTTGGTTCTGGCCAGCTCAGTGGATTGCTTTAAAAAAGGCCTGGATTGTTTCCTAGATACACAGAATATAACTGGATACTAACATTTATATGTAAAGTTGATCCAGGGAATATCCGATTGCTTCTCAGGGGATCAGGAAGGAATTTTTTTTCCCAGCAGGAGCAAATTAGATCATGCTTTGCTGGGTTTTTTGCCTTCCTCTAGATCAACTGTGGGTATAGGATTATAACTTTTTTTTTTTTGGTTGAACTGGATGGACTTTTGTCTATTTTTCAGCCGGACTAACTATATAACTATGATTACCTGATAATAATGTAAAGCAACTCCAACACAAAAAAAAAGTTCAAGACTAATCCCTGTCTGCCTTCTGTTGTCCCTGTGACAGTCATTAAATGTTATGCCTGCCCATTAAAGCCATTGCGATCAGTTATGACACCAACCATTTATTGGCTTGATTGTTCAGTCGATAGCACAAGCAACTGACATGCCTTGAATGTAATAGTTTTGAGAAACAGTTCCATCAATTTGTTTAGTTCTTCTTAATTTTTTTAACTTGGATGAGAGATAGGTCCACTTGCACAAATACTATATATTTCACAAGTTTAGTTTGGAAAAAGTGATGGGACTGACTGGCGTCAGCCAAATTGATTTTTTTTTTTTCATGAAAGATGTATACAATGCATTTTGTAACATTTTACTCTTACACTATAGGACCTTGTCCTAGTGAAAGTTTCAAACTTTGAACCAATGGCTGTGCAGCTGTGAGACAGGCCCCACCTCCTCCATCATTGTTGAGAATTACTTACATCCAGTTCCTTTAGTACAGGGTGATCTTCAATTCCTGGGAAAAGCACGCGCATCGCATATGTCTTATAATCCAGGAATGGGATCTTCACGCCATCCATATTGTTAGTCAGCTCATTAATGTCTGTCTGGAGCTCTGCAAAGGCTGTAAAATTTGAAAAAAAGGTACACATTAGAGACCACATGGTACATATAATAAAAGCTTTAAAAACTGTTGAATTTAAATGCCCGTCAAACATGAACACAAGCGTTAGTATACGCTATATAAATCACAACTAGTAGTCTGAAATACATATGCAAAACAATGTATTCCCTGATATCTTTACCAGGATATCTACAGAGCATATGCGCATGCATGCAGTCATCTGAGATTTAGAGCCAGTATAACAAAAAATTCAGGAATGGTGACTGACTTTTATCTAATAGTATGTACCTGAGCAATGACTCTGGTCTAATGAAATGAGTAATGTATAAAAGTGGAATCGCTATACCTCAACCATACAATACAATCACTTTCTTTCTGCATAATGAGAGTGCAGCTAATGAACAAATGTTCATTAGCAAATGTTCATATGATAAAACATAATACCCTCAAAAACTATGGCCCTGTGGTTGAATAGCATTGTAAGTGTTCTTGTTGCCTGTAGAACCAGAAGCTTTGGTTTACTTTAAAGCTGGCCATACACGCATCACCAGTTGTGAGAATGCAATAGGCCACAGGAGGAGATTCATCCATAAGCGCTGTCAGCATGGATGGAGTAATCTGTTCAAATTCTTTTGTTCAGGCTGCAGATCAAAGAAGTCTATGCATATATAGCCTGCTTACTTGGAAGATGAGTGATTGCTATGGGCAACAAAAACGTGTTTAGAATGTTTAAATCCAGGCACCTATGTGTCTGCATCTCATCAGTTACAGCATAGTACTGAAACCTTGCATTACATAATAGAGCTAGCTTAGATCTCACCAGCTGTAAGCTATGAAGGAAGAGTGGTCAAACATTGGACAAAATGCTTAAGTGCTCCTGAGAATTAGACACAAACCCTAAACAAAAATTTCTATATAAAAAAATACAACGTGATGAGGACATTTTAGATACAGCTTAAGCCAGGGCTCAACAAATCCCAGGTGCCATGTTGCCATGGCGACCAGAAATCGCGAACTGGCACCTGGGCACCAGTCAGCCCACTCACCGCCAGCAACTCCCACTTCCCTACGCCCTGGACATGCAGCTACAGGAGCAGGGCAACTGATCCTTCTCTCTCTCCCCCCCCCCCCCCCCCCCCCGTCCTGCTGGTCTCCATAGTTTCCCTGGAAGCAGGCTGGGCTGGAGTCTGATGTCCAGCTGTCAGGCCCGGTGTGAGTGACATAGTCGGGGGTAGCCTGGCTCCTCTCCTCAAGCTTCCACTATCTCCCCTCCCCCAATGCCAGAGCAGGGTCTGAGGATGAACGGCTTCTCTCTGGGCAAGCTCTGTTGGGTCTTCTGCTGCGCGCCATGGCTGTGCCACACCGTCAAGCTGGCCTTCCTCCCCCCCCAGAGCTCACCTGGTGCGCACACGGTGAAGGGGTCGGCAGGGGGTGAGAGGTGGGGAACCGGCGGCCTTTGTGCCACCCCTTGTGGCCTCCACCTGACGGAGCAGGCGGACTTAGCAGTACTCCTTTTAGGAGCTTGACGCAGTGGAGGTGTTCTGGTGGAGGACAGAGCAGAGGAGTTGCCTGGGCTGTATATTCACCTGCTGTGCCCCAAGGAGCGGTGAATCTGGGACAGATGTGCTCCTTCTTTATCTGCCTAGGCATGCACATCAACTGCAATGTCTCTGTGTGTCACACACACACACAAAATATTGCCAAAAGTATTGGGATGTGTGCCTTTACACGTACATGAACTTTAATGGCATCCCAGTCTTAGTCCGTAGGGTTCAATATTGAGTTGGCCCACCCTTTGCAGCTATAACAGCTTCAACTCTTATGTGAAGGCTGTCCACAAGGTTTAGGAGTGTGTCTATGGGAAGGTTTGACCATTCTTCCAGAAGCACATTTGTGAGGTCAGGCACTGATGCAGGATGAGAAGGCCTGGCTCGCATTCTCCGCTCTAATTCATCCCAAAGGTGTTCTATCAGGTTTCAGGCCAGTCAAGTTCCTCCACCCCAAACTTACTCATTCATGTCTTTATGAAGCTTGAGTTGTGCACTGGTGCGCAGTCATGTTGGAACAGGAAGGGCCATCCCCAAACTGTTCCCACAAAGTTGGGAGCATGAAATTGTCCAAAATGTCTTGGTATGCTGACGCCTTAAGAGTTCCCTTCACTGGAACCAAGAGGCCAAGCCCAACCCTTGAAACACAACCCCACACCATAATCCGCCCTCCACCAAACTTTACACTTGGTACAATGCAGTCAGGCAAGTCCTGGCAACTGCCAACCCAGACATGTCCATTGGATTGCCAGACAGAGAAGCGTGATTGGTCACTCCAGAGAACACATCTCCACTGCTCTAGAGTACGGTGGCAGCGTGTTTTACACCACTGCAGCCGACACTTTGCATTGCACTTGGTGATGTAAGGCTTGGATGCAGCTGCTCGACCATGGAAACCCATTCCATGAAGCTCTCTATACACTGTTGTTGTGCTAATCTGGTTTGGAGGTCTTTAGCTATTGACTCTGCAGACAGTTGGCAACTTCCCTTCACTGGATCTAAGGGACCAAGCCCAACCCCTAAAAAAAAAAAACCCCACCATAATCCCCCTCCACCAAACTTTACACTTGGCACAATGCAGTCGGGCAAGTACCGTTCTCCTGGCAACCACCAAACCCAGACACATCCATTGGATTGCCAGACAGAGAAGTATGATCCGTCACTCCAGAGAACACGTCTCCACTGCTCTAGAGTCCAGTGGCGGTGTGCTTTACACCACTGCATTCGATGCATTGCATTGCACTTGGTGATGTAAGGCTTGGATGCAGCTGCTTGGCCATGGAAACACGTTCCATGCAGCTCTCTACACACTGTTGTGCTAATCTGAAGGCCACACGAAGTTTGGAGGTGTTTAGCTATTTACTCTGCAGACAGCTGGCGACTTCTGTGCACTGTGTGCTTCAGCATGCGCTGACCCCGCTCTGTCATTTTAAATGGCCTACTACTTCATGGCTGAGTTGCTGTTGTTCCCAGTTGCTTCCACTTTGTTATAATACCACTAACAGTTGACCGTGGAATATTTAGTAGCAAGGAAATTTCACAGATGGATTTATTGCACAGGTGGCAACCTATCACAGTACCATACGTGAATTAACTGAGGTCCTTAGAGCGACCCATTCTTTCACAAATGTTTGTAGAAGCAGTCAGCATGCCTAGGTGCTTGATTTTATACACCTGTGGCCATGGAGGTGATTGGAACACCGGAATCCAATGATTTGGGGTCCCAATACTTTTGGCAATATACATATACATTACATATTTGACAATATAGACATATACACATACATTATATATATATATATATATATATATATATATATATATATATATATATATATATATATATATATACACACACACACACACACACACACACATACACATATATACATACATGCACACACACACAGTTGTGTTCAAAATAATAGCAGTCAGACATCACTAACCTGATCAATCACTGTTTTTGTTAGAAATGATATTTCTACATGGCAAATCATTTACTAGCAGGTGTAGTAGAGTAATAGAAATCCAACAGACCCAACAGTCATGACATGCATGCTGCTGATTCTGTGTAATTGAATCACTAATTAAAAGGGGCATGTTCAAATAATAGCAGTGTGGAGTTCTATTAGTAAGGTCATTCATTCTTTGAAAAAATAGGTGGCAATTATTGCCCTTATTTAAGGAAGGAAGGCAGCAAATGTTGTACATGCTGGTTACAGTGCATTTCTTTCTGAAATTCTGAGGAAAATGGGTCGTTCCAGACATTGTTCAGAAGAACAGCGTACCTTGATTAAAAAGTTGATTGGAGAGGGGAAAATATAAAGAAGTGCAGAAAATGATAGGCTGCTCAGCTAAAATGATCGCAAAGGCTTTAAAATGGCAACCAAAACCTGAAAGACGTGGAAGAAAGTGAAAAACTACCATTTGAATGGATAAAAGAATAGCCAAAATGGCAAGGACTCAGCCAACAATCAGCTCCAGGAAGATCAAAGAAGGTCCAAAGTTACCTGTGAGTACTGTTACAATTAGAAGACGCCTATGTGAAGCCAAGCTATCTGCAAGAAGCCCCCGCAAAGTCCCACTGTTGAAAAAAAGACATGTGCTGAAGAGGTCACAATTTGCCAAAGAGCACATTAACTGGCCTAAATAGAAATGGCGCAACATTTTGTGGACTGATGAAAGTAAAATTGTTCTTTTTGGGTCTAGTGGCCGGAGACAGTTTGTCAGACGACCCCCAAACACTGAATTCAAGCCACAGTACACTGTGAAGACAGTGAAGCATGGTTGCGCAAGCATCATGATATGGGGATGTTTCTCATACTACGGTGTTGGGCCTATTTATCGCATACCAGGGATCATGGATCAGTTTGAATACATCAGAATACTTGAAGAGGTCATGCTGCCTTATGCTGAAGAGGAAATGCCCTTGAAATGGGTGTTCCAACAAGACAACAACCCCAAAAACACCAGTAAACGTGCATCATCTTGGTTCCAGACGTTATGGAGTGGCCAGCCCAATTCCCGGATCTTAATCCGATAGAATACTTGTGGAGTGACATCAAAAATGCAGTTTCTGAGGCAAAACCAAGAAATAGAGAAGAACTGTGGAATGTAGTCCAATCATCCTGGGCTGGAATACCTGTTCACAGGTGCCAGAAGTTGGTTGACTCCATGCAACACAGATGTACAGCAGTTCTCAGAAACAGTGCTTATACAACTAAATATTAATTAAGTGATTCCAAAGAAAGCAAAATCTTCAAACATTTTTCAGTTTATATAGTGAATGTTTGAGTTTGTAAAGAAGAATACAAACACGGCTATTTTTTTGAACAGTCTAATATTCACTTTTCTTCAATTTTTTTTAGAGGAACAACACAAATTTGATATATTTTTTTGATTTGGAGTAGAATGTGTAGTGTTCCCAATGCATTTGTGTGTATGGAAATATAA